ATGTGCCTCTTGTAGTAGCTTGGAGCGAAGAGAGGAGCTTTGGGGAATGACCAAGCGCCCATTAAAATATAGTTTCTGCTCAACCAAGCTATAACCAGGTTGAGCTGGGATTTTCTTTCAAAGCAGCAATAATAGCAGCTGTAAATGAGTCAGCGATCAAAGCCTCCTGTAATTCTAGATAGTCCAAAGGTATAGGTATCACCATAGTGAGAAAATCAGCATGTTGTGGCCTCCTAGGCAGTGAGTCAGCCCCAATATTTGCTTTTCCAGCCTTATAGACAATGGTAAAATCAAAGGGAAGGAATTTAAGGATGAGGCGTTGCTGGGTATTTGTCAATATTCTTTGCTGTAGCAAATTCTTTAGACTGCAATGATCAGTCCTCACTGTAAAATGTCTCCCTAATAAGAAATGACACCATTTTTGGAGCGCTAATGCTGACACCAAAAGTTCTCGATCATAAGTGGACTGAAACCTGTTAGAGAAAGATAGCCCTTTGCTATAAAAAGCAATGGGATGGTCACTCTGCATAAGAATTGCCCCAACACCATCCATGGATGCATCCGATCTTACAACAAACTCAGCAATGAAGTCCAGAAGTTTTAATAACAGGAGTAGTAATAAGATGACATTTAAGCCTCAAAAGCTCTTTGTGCTTCAGATGACCAGCAAAAAGCATTCTTTTTAGTTAATTCATTAAGGAGACAAGCAATAATACCATAGTTCTTGACAAACCATCGGTAATAGCCAATAAGCCCTAGGAATCCACGAAGCTCAATCACGTTGGTAGGTTCTGGCCCCTCACTTATAGTGTTGACCTTTTCAAAGTCTATTTCCACTCCTTGTGCTGAAACTTTATGCCCCAAGAAGGATACACGAGTCTGCCCAAATTCACACTTCTTAAAGTTGGCATACTAATGTTGTTGCTGCATGGTGGTAAACACCAAGCGGAGATGCGCTTCATGTTGCATTGTAGTGGGGCTGTAGACTAGGATGTTATCAAAGAAAACTAATACAAACTTTCGAAGGTAAGGTAGAAAAAGATCATTCATGGCTACTTGAAAAGTAGCAGGGGAATTTGTTAGTCCAAAAGGCATGACGACGAATTCATAGTGTCCACTATGTGTCTTGAATGCTGTCTTGTGAATATCAGCTGGCAGGACCCATATCTGGTGGTACTGAGAGCAGAGATCGATCTTAGAAAAATAAGTGGCTCCATGTAGCTCATATAAAAGCTCATCAATGTTGGGAATCGGGTATTTGTTTGGGACTGTGTGATTTGGTTCAAGGCCCTATAGTCTACACAAAACCTCCAAGAGTCATCCTTTTTCTTTACTGATAAAACCGTACTGACAAAAGGGCTTGAACTTGGCTGTATGAAGCCTTTCTGTGACAATTCATCTACATATTGCTCAATTTTAGTCTTCTGGAAGTAAGGATAGCGATAAGGATGTAAGGAGGTTGAGCCCATGGTAACAGATGAATGGCATGATAGTGATCTCTAAAAGGTGGCAAAGTAGTGGGTTCATCAAACAAGCTATCAAACTCCACCATGAGCTCGTCCACATCTATTAACTTAGCATCTGGTGACCCCAATCTAAGCTCAAAAGAAAACATCAAGTGCAGGTTTGCTTTCTGGTTGGTGGGTGGAGGCACTCTTTGAAGCTTATTCCTCTTACCATCAACCTAGCAAATTAAAAACATTTCATTCCAATTGGCTTGGATTGTATTCAGAGAGGCCAACCACTTAATTCCCAGGACTATATCGGTTCCCATAAGAGAGAAGGAGTAGAAGTCTTGGTTAAGAGTCAACCCTAGAAGCTTGACTTCCACTTCTTACATACCTTATTGCAGCGAAGAATTCTGTCATCTCCAATCTGAACTCCAAAAATAGATAGAGTAAGTAGGCAAGCCTAGTTCTTGCACCAATAAATCAGAAATGAAATTATGTGTGGATCTACTATCCACGAGTAGCAATACATCATGATTCTGCACTGAACCACTGAGTTTCATAGTTGCTGCAGTGTTATTGCCCAGTATAGCGTTAAACAAGATCTCTGCAATCTCCAGAATCTCATCCTCGACTTATGTGACAGCTTCAATTTGCTCAGATAAGGGCTGGCCATCCTCGTTGATCTCCATAAGAGAGAAAGAAGACATTTTGCAGCGATGCCCAGGCCAAAAAACGTCCTCACAATGGAAGCAAAGACCTTTATCCCTGCAGCGTTGCTGTTCGGAGCCTGAGAGAGCAGGTCTGATCAATGTTGTGCTGCTGGACAAAGGTTCGAAGAGGACATGTTGGAGCTCCTAAATGCGTTCAATGTAAATGCTGAGGCTATCCCCTGTGAGTCACATGCAGAATTATTTTGTTGGCTGAAATTAGGGTTGGATTGATTTTGACCATAAGAAGCTGTGGGCTTTGGCCCACGTTGAAGTTGAAACTTTTTCTCATACTCTAGGGCAAGATTTATTGCCTTGAACACAGTACGTGGCTTTTATATTCACACATCAGCTCTCAAATCTTCCCTTAAGCTGCTTAAGAAAACTTCAAGAAGGCAATGTTCTAGCTAGTGAGAAACTCAAGCTACACTCTTGGCAAATTCTTGTCTATATTCTTGAACAGATCCTGTTTGCTTGACAGAACAAAGGTGCTCATCAGGATTTTGGAATTCAAGTGGCCTATAGTGCTCTTGCAAAGCCCTCACGAGTTCATCCCAGTAAAGTAAGGTGCTTGCTGAATTAATCCAAAAGAATAAATCCAGTGTATCTCCCTCTAAATTCAAGGAAGCAACATCAACCTTCAAGTCTTTCGGTGTTTGATAATACTGGAAAAATTTCTGTCTTCAAAATCCATCCTTATCGGTCCCCTCCACTAAATTTTGGAAAATCCATTTTTGTATATGGTGGTTTTGGCCCTCTTATGTCAAAGTCATCTTCACTGTCTTCTTCCCAATGAGAGCGCCTATAATGACCTTCCATGGTTCGCCTGCCGCTACTAGTTGCAAAAGCCTCAAGTGCCTCTACCTTCTCTTTCAACATATCAAGTATCTCTAATTTGGAAGCAATTACTGTTAATGGATCTTTTAAAATGGGTTTACAGTAGATTCATTCCGTGGGGGTTTATTGGAGGAAGTGGCATGTGGATCTATAGTTTTGTTGCCAGAACGTGTGGTCACCATGTTGATTGAATGTGGCTCGGATACCAAATTGGTAAGAACTTGTAGCAGCATGAATTAAAAAAAGTAATCTATTAAGTTAGCTAGAGCAAGAATCTCACTCTAAATAATTTAACAGCTAAGTAGGAGAATCTCTAGAGGAAGATCAGGTTTATTTCTTAACTCATATCCTGCTTGTATGGGAGCAACGATATTTAAAATAAAAGAGTACAACTGAATAATTCAAATAATGCAAGATACTAGACAAAAAATCAGGAACTACTACATAGGAACCTCCCTAACAACCTTGAGGTCCTATTATTTAGCAACTGATATTTAAAACAGAATAACAATTAAAATAACAGCAATCATTAATTTAAATCAGATAAATCCCTTAAAACATGCATGACAGCATCAGTTTCAACTATCTTCCTCTTCTTTCTATGATGATAAGTGACTAGTGATCTGCTGAGCTGACTTGGATCCTTATCACACAGCCACTACCAAGAATGGTCTGTGTGCTTGACTCTTCTTGTGAGGACCCGCCAGTCGATGATTTTTTTTTTTTTTTTTGGTCACTACCATTGACTGTATGAGCCCTCATAGAGCCAGACGAGATCTGCTTTTGCTGCATTAGGACCAATGCTCTGATACCATGTTGATTTTGGAGGCAGAAAAGCTTATTTTACTATCCGATTATGATAAGGTACTTATAGGAGAGATTAGGTTTGGCCACATCTTGGCTAATCCCTAGAATCTTCCTAAAATCATGGGAATTAAATAAAAATGATTTAACCCTGATGATAAAAACAATAAATAGCACCAGAAAAAGACAGCAGAAGGAATAAATGAGGGGAAATACTGAGGTTTTTACTATTGTAATCAAAATGAACCAATTTAGTGTTATACGATCTCCTCTGATTCTGGCAAAACTCTTCCCCTGTTACAATCCAAACTGAAATCAAACAGAGGACAACCAGTACATAATCATTAGGGACACAAGAACATAAGACCACTGGCGTTCGAGAGGCCATACTCTCCTGATCACACTCACAATACAAAACAACCCTCATTCCCCAACCCTCACGGCTGAAAGACATTAAGGACTCCAAAAAAGTGATTCACACATCCCCCAACATAGGCCGTGCCCCTAGGTAACCCCAAAACATAATTAAGCTAGCATTACTTTTCCCTGCAACCTGGATCCATAGGACAAACACTTGAACCAGTAGTAATTTCTTCTTCTGCCCTCTTAGTCTCCCTTATATGTCTTAGTGGATCTATAAACCTAGCGTTACTTTTCCTCTTGTATGTCTTAGTTGATTTATCGGTTAATAATAATAAAGATATATTCATATTTGGCCGAAATACATGGCCCATTAGAGATACTTAAATAAATGATAAGATAAACCCTATTGAGAAAACATATCAGCACACTCCAACAGTAAGACACTTGGATGATAATGAACTCTAAAACTCCTATATGCTAATAAACCACTAATCCCATAACCCTCCTAAATCAGAATCCTAAACTTTCAAAACATTGATTGGTTTTTCCCAAAACTTAGCATCTTGAGATGTTCCCTCTCCATTCTTTCTAATAATATTTTTTTTTTAATCTAAAAGCAACAGCTATAATAAAGCAGAACGATTCTAGTGCATCTCTGGCATGATGTGCATATTCTGTGGTTGGTTACATTTAAGTGCCTAAGTTAGATGTGTACAATTTCATTGTAGAGACAGGTTGCTAAGATAGTCTGTGGATCAGCTGTTCTTTCATCTTTTCCTCTGGTTTCTTTGTGTGTGTATGGCAACACTCATTCATTCGTTCTCTCATTGTTTTGCAGGAGCTGAATAAAGAAAGTTCTCAATTCAAAGATGAACTGTGGTTAGGAATCCGTGATCTAAGTTTGAAGACAGATTTGATTGTTCTTGTTCATAATCTGTCCCATACCATACCTCGATATGCTAATTCCAATGTGCCTGAACATAAGCCTGTCCTGTCCCTCTTTTTGGATGAGGCTAAATCTCTTGGAATTCCTTGGGTTCTTGCAATAACAAATAAATTCTCTGTTAGTGCACACCACCAAAAGGCTGCAATTGAAGCAGTTTTAAAAGCATACCAAGCATCTCCAAGCACAACTGAAGTTTTAAATTCCTGTCCATATGTTATGGCTGGTGTTTCTGAGGCTTCCTTGTCACAGAGTGTGGACAATGAAAAGCTCAATAGAAGAATTGGTGTTCAAAGGCTTATATTTGCTCCTATTAATGTTGTTAGAAGGCCTTTCCAGAGAAAGGAGATTGTTTTTCCAGTTGAAGGTGTTAACTCTCTCTGTCAGCGAATCCACAGCGTTCTTCGTAATCATGAAGAGGCTTCATTTCAGGTGAGAATCTTTTGTCATGGTGTCAAATCTTATTTTGTTCTCGATCAAAGATTCCTATTTTGGCATGTAACGCATGAAATTTTTTCTTCTTTATGCGTTCCTATATCTGAAAAAAAATAGGATAGGACATGGATTCAAATGCAAAAATTGGTCAGTCATTGAACCTGGATAATGATCAATTCAACATTTCTTTCTTTGGTCAATGAGTAGTTCACAGTTAAATGGTTTAACTGCAGTTGAATTGAAGTTTAAGCAAAGCTTCTTTTTTTCAATTTTCTCAAAAGATTATAGTAGCTCTTTTCAAGGGCTAGAATCTGCAAATTAAAAACAGTGGGGTGAGATATGAAATAAAATCCGGATTATGATATTTATAGCTTTCTTATGCAAACCTAGGTAATATGTGACATCTAATTTCACTTTCACATGGAGTAATATGAGATGCTCTATGGGGTATATAAAGGGATTGGTTCTCCTATGACAATAGCCTTCCCCATCATCAGAATTGGTTGTTGTCAAATTCAGAAAGGGCTGAGCTGTGAAGGGTTTTCGATATGTGAATTGGTTAACAAGTTCATTTGTTAGAAGAAATTTTGTAAAATGGGCAATGGTATTTTCATTGTTGATGCTTTTATTACAGGAGCTTGCTAGAGATAGACTGATGATGGACTTGGCACGAGAGCATCCAATGTCAATGGATGCAAGTAAAGATGCCAGAGCGAAGGCAAATTCGTTGAATTCGGCAGCGGTGGGCGCGTCAATTGGGGCTGGTATCGGCATTGTCATGGCCATTGTAATGGGGGCAGCATCTGCCTTGAGGAAACCATAAGGACCAATCCGAATCCTCTACACTTATAAAGTGATTGCATAAAATGCATTCAGAGAGAGAGAGAGAGAGAGATGGGGATGAAAGAAAATGAGTTTAAAGAGTAGCATGTGTTTTGCGCAATCAAGCTCTTTTTATTCCACTTTTTTCTTAAATGTATGACTTTATATGATTGTAGAGGATTCAATTTTCTAACCTTTTTCCTCTCTATGATTGACATGTAGTCTCACACAATGGGAATTAGGTTGTATAGGCTATGTGCAGATGCTTATTTATGTAGAATTTCATTCTTTTCTTAGATGTTACATGTAAGGTATTCCTTCAGGATAAAAAAATTTTATCACATAAATGGCATATAATCTCATCTATATAACAAGCTCCCTAATACAGTAGCAAAGCTTGTCCAAGATTTAGGTCCAAAAGTGGATTACATCCTGAAAGAGCATAATTAAAATTAAGAGATGCTTGGTTCAACTGATTGACATAGTTAAATTAACTTATTCTGAAATCTTGAACTTGAATCTCAATATATTCTTTCATATTAAATAAATATATCAAAAATATCATTAAAGTACTCATGGATTGAGGGTACTGAGTGGAATGAAAAACATGCAAAGCCAATTGGTAGCTTGAGATCATATGCAAATCACACTTAAGACCTCTTTATAAAGAATAATGCCAAATTATTTGAACCAGCTGGTCAAATGGTATAAATTAGCTTTTTTAAAAAAAAAATTCATGCACATTCTTATTTCTTAAAGTGGTAGTAACCCCTTTGTAGCAGAAATTACGTTAGACTCGGAAAAAAAATATAGCTTTAACCAAAACCAGAAAAAAAAAAAACAAGAAATGTAAGCTTTAGTTTTTTTGTTTTTTAATCAAGATCACAGGGCAATAAATGATGACATAGTAAGAAATTTTGTGTGGACCGTCCAATGAATGATCTCATATTAAGTTGTAAATAAACATAAATATAGGATCTTCAATAAAATATTTGATTATAGACACTTAAAAATATAGCTTCATTTTCTACTTGATAAAAGTAAACCAAGCGCAAAGGTCTACAATTGTTTTTCCAATTTTAAACAATCACACTAATATCATTTGAAATGGATTATAACTTAGTTGATTTAGATGTGTTAGATTTATTAAAAAATAATAATTACTTACACTTGATTAAAAAGTTAAACCAACTAAATTAATCAAATGGTAAAAATTTAAAGTATGAAACAAAAGCCAGCCCCGTCTCAACTTGATTTTCTCCACTTTTTTAATTCTTCCATTCTCATTCAAACCACAAGACAAGTCTTATTTTACTAAACTTTAGATTTAATCACTTCTCATTTTTTTTTTAAACCATAATTTTAGGAAAAAACTTATATACCTAATATTGTATACTTAATATATTCATTTTCAATTAAATCGAGAGATATAAATCTTTTATAAATTATTTATTTTATAATAAATTTTTGTTATCAATTTTATTAATATAATAAAATTTAATTATTATAATTTAATTGAATAAAAGTATATTAAATATATAAAAGTAAGTACATAAATCTTACACTTAACTTTAAACAATTAATGTTTAACATATGATCTAGGACATTAGGCTTGAACATAGCCATATGCAAAAGCAAACTCTTTCTCCTTTTTCATTCACATAAGGATCAAGTTCCTCAAGAATTGAAGGAACAGAGGCTTTAAATTGAAAATGAAGAACGTGCTGCGCAGCGCAGCATGCTTTGCAATATGTGAGCTTTTAGGGAAAAAAAAAAAAATATTGACCTCCTTCGTTTTTTGGGGGTACAACAGAGGATGTAGACCGATAGAAAATAATTCCCCATAGGACAAGATTTCATACTATCAAGGGTAAGAAAAAAGGAAGACTACACTCAAAATATCCATGGGAGTGACAAAGCCAAGTCATCTGGAACAAAACTCATGAAGAACAGCAAGAAAAATTCAGCCGGCCTTGCTTTGATCCTTCCCCATTAGCCAGGTTGACTCGATTCACGGACAGTTCGGCCTTGTAGGAATCAGAGTTCAACACTTTCCGGCTGATATTGCTATAGATTTCCTGGATAACGATCTCGAAAGCCGTTTGAACATTGGTAGAATCAAGTGCAGATGTCTCCATGAAGAATAAGCCTTCTTCTTCTGCAAGGCTTTTGCCATCCTCTATGCTAACCTCTCTGATATTCTGCAGGTCACACTTGTTTCCCACCAACATTCTTGCCACAGTAGTATCACAATGAACTGTAGGATCATTCATCCCAGAGTTATACTCCATCCACTCCAAAATATAAACAGCCTTTAACAATAATCCGCATACTAATTAAAATCCTTAATCTCATAAAATATATATTATGTTCCCTTTTTAATTAGTTCCAATTTATGATGAGTGAAAAGAAGATCATAAATTCATCGAAATGAAAATTCGAGTTAATAAATACAAAGGATAAAATGAGAAAAAAAAATTACAAATATTAAATTGCTTATATTCTAGATCAAAATTAACTGAGAGAAAATGATTATATGTTGGAACGGAGGGAGTAATTTTTAACCCAATTAATTAACTATGTGAAATGTAAATGACTGCATAATATTTCAAGTCCCATCAAAGATGGCACATAGCAAGGCAAACCATGCAGGACTTGAAATGAAGTCTACATCATTCAATTGTACTCCATCCCTCTGGTCTCATATATAAGCAAAAAATAACTGACACTTGGTAAGAAAAGTAGTTGAAAGTGGTTATTTCTCATAATTGTTTTGCAAAATTGATCTTTTTCCCGCTGAAATACCTTCAGTACTATAATGTTTATTTATTTAATGATGCTCTACTTATTTACAGCAGACAAATCCATCTACTCCTATTGAAGGGAGGGTAAAATAGGAAGAATTCTTTGATGTACATGATAGAGGGACCTTTTCTTATATTTGAGACCAAGAAACACCCTTTGAAATATAATTTGCTTATATATGAGACCAGAGGGAGCAGAATACAATAAAGCAAGATCAAAAAAAAAAAAAAAAAATTTAACAATGTTCTAACAGATGTGTCATCATCATGAGCATAGTAAATAATGATTCTGCAAATCAAAGGTTAATCCTCAGAAGAAGAAAAAATTCCTGGGTATACTTGCTCTCTACTTAGATAGGAAGACAAAGCAGAAATGATTCAGTTCTGAGTTTTCCCCCCCCCCCCTTTTTTTTAATAAGTCCCTTGGTCTCTGAAAGCCATGTTACCCTATGACGAATTTGAGTCAAGTCAAATGGACCCCCTAAAGGGGACAAAGCTCTCCAAGAGTTCCTGAATTTTTTTAATTGAATTACAACATGTGAAAGTGCTTCTATGAAAGGGTAAATAATGTGCAGCGAAGTTGGAAAAAATATTCACATGTTCCTATTTTTAGGATTAAAACGTTGCAGCAAGTGAGCAAACACTTTGGGGTAATTTGGTATATAGAATAATATATATAGTGAGGGAATGGAAAAAAAAGTGACACTCATTTCCATGGGTAAAAAAAAAAAAAAAGTCAGTGTTGAATAATGATCAGAATGACATATTAAACATTGCATATTTCATTTTCTTTGCATTAGAAACAGAATCTATTTGTTCATTTTACACCAGAGAAGATGGCTCTCAATTAATTGCATTGCAAACGCTATACATAGGCAAAATCCAATTCACATCCAATAAAAAAAAAAAAAAAAAAAAACCTTCCAATTTCAAAAAAAATCCATTCTTCGCCAAACTCTAATCATCTATAACATTAATAAACCTTACAAATGCCACCAAACAATTCATATTCCATAATGTATATAGATGGTCCATCAATGCTAGCATCTATGGCACTTCATTTATCCATTCGGAGTCCTACCACCAACCAGTTTGAATACGTTTCCTAATAATAATTTTCTGATATTTTTTAATCATCAGTTGACATGCACACATGATTCCTATTATAAGATTTCTCTTCGGATCATAAATAGTTATTTGCGTGCAATATCCTTATGAAAAAACACCCCAATTTATCATTGACAAAACCTTCATATATATTCTGTGCCAATAAAGAAAGAAAAAACAAACAGCTATGCAAGTGCCAACAACTAATTTATGTTACAAAAAAGAAACCCAGCTCTGATTTAACTTCACTCACAATTCAATTGATCATAGTGAAACAAAAGAGAGGAAAAGGGCAGGCCAACTTTCCTTTCAAATACGATCCAAAGCAAGAAAGCTATAAAAGCAAGTTGAAATTAAGAGCTGACAGTAACAACAACATAATGAAACAATTCAATTGATCATAATGAAACAAAAGAGAGGAAAAGGGCAGGCCAACTTTCCTTTCAAACACGATCCAAAGCAAGAAAGCTATAAAAGCAAGTTGAAATTAAGAGCTGAGAGTAACAACAACCTGATAGCAAATTGAAGCAACATTTAGCAAAATGTCAAATGCAAGATGACGAGAGATGCTACTTTATGTACACAACAGTTCTCGACAGTCCTAATTAATTCGGATTAGGATCTCTTTCCAGCTGTAAAGGTAGCTTTCGCCCATTTAGAATGACTTGCTTGATCATTTTAAATTCTTCAACCAAACAATGCAATGCAATACACACACACACACTCTTAAAGTTGATCAAAGCAGACCATAAAATTGTTTCACAACAAATGCATAAAGGATTAAGATTATTGATTTTCATTTTATAATTTTACTATACAAGTAAACCCCTCGAGCCATATTCACCAATAAAAGAAGTCATGAAAACAAAAGGAAGAGGAAAAACTGAACAATCCTAATTAATTCGGATTAGGAGCTCTTTTCAGTTTACAATATAGCTTTCGTCTATAGAAAATGACTTGCTCGATCATTTAAAATTCTTCAACCAAACAATGCAGCACACACAGTCTCTCTCTCTCAAAGTTGATCAACAGCAATAGACCTCAAAATGTTTCACAACAAATGTATAAAGGATTAAGAATTGATGTTCATTATATAATTTCACTCCTCGAGCCAGATTCACCAATAAAATAAGAAACAAAAGGAAGAGGAAAAAGGCATGCTTGTTTAACCTTTTAAAACCATCCAGAGCAAGGAAACACTGCACATTTCAAATTATCAGACCCTAAATGATACTTCAAATCACATTCAAACACTTCACATTCAATCTGATCATGTTGATATCAGGTAAAGATAAAAGCAAACAGAAATTAAGAGCAGAGGGCGAGCATAAACATACGAGAAAGCTCCTCGAGCCACCTTTTGATGCTGTCAAAAGTGGTTCTCCTACTGATATCGTAAACAATGAGAGCCCCAACGGCACCTCTGTAATAAGCAGAAGTGACAGCTCTGAATCGCTCTTGGCCAGCAGTGTCCCAGATCTGAGCCTTAATTTCTTTGCCATCAATTTCCACGACCTGGGTCTGAAACTCAACCCCAATTGTAGCCTTAGAATTGTTATCGAACTCGTTGCGAGCAAAGCGAGAGAGCAAATTGGACTTGCCAACAGCAGAATCACCAATCAGGACAATCTTGAAGAGGTACTCCTCACCCACTTCCTCGTTGTCCTCCATTGCTGCAAAATTTTCGAGCTTTGTGAACTTCCGAGTGTGGGATTCTGCAAAATGTATAAATGGGAGAATGGTATTGGGGGGGCGAAGTGTGAACTGAGTGAAAGAGCGGTGGGGTTTAGCTTCAGGCACGTCGCGTGATTGGCGGGGTTTATCGCTTCTTTTTTGATCGAACCGATCTTTTTAGTATGATAATAATCGGTGTCTATTTGACCGACCTTTCGGTCCAGCGCATTGACTTCTTTTCATCAAGTTTTAGAAGAGGGAAAGCAAAAAAGAATTTATATATATGACTCGTTGCTAATGTTATAAATAATCTTCCTACATTTTTTTCGTATTATTTTATTACAAATTACCCTATTTGTACAATTATTTATAGGGAAAACATGACATAAAAATGATATGATATTTAACAAAATTTAAATAAGTTAGATTTCAGAAGAAGCTTATCGAAGCCAAAGTGTGTTTTCATGTTTAGAAATTTCCACAACAACCTTGTAATTTAGTGGTATATAAACTTCTGTAAATGAGAGGCATTGAATTCAATTTCTTGTTAGTGCTTGCCCTTCTAATTTAAAAAAAAAATTATGATTTTGTTTTTATTAGCTTCTAACATTGTTTCAAAATTTATTAAAAAAAAAAAAAAACTACAAAGATGCTTACATTGTCCATTAATAAATTTTTCACATCCACAATAAAATTTAAACTCACGAATTTATAGGTTATAAGTAAAATCCTGATCAACTTGTTAACAAAATATTATATTCTTATATTATACTTTGTGTTCTTTTAAATAATACTTCTTATCGATATTTAATGTTTAATATGGATTTTAAAATTTATATGATTTTATATAGCTTCCCTCCACCACCATTTCTCTTCATTGTGCCTACAAATTTTTATTAGGTTTTGTGCGATTTTTTTTGTCCTTCAACTTCTTTTACTCATGTCAATAGGACTTTTACGGATTTTTTTAATAAGATTTAAATGCAATGAGAATAATATAATCTTTCAAATTATTTTAAGTATTATTTACTAACGCATTACTCCCATGAAATGTGTCGTTGGCTAGTTGCAGAGTATTATAGTTCAAAAATTAACGGACCGCGTGTGACACTTACAAATTCAAAGTTTATTTTTCCCATGAAAAAAAAAAATATTAAAAGATCTAAACCCTAAAAATATTGGCATGAATAATTGTTTTTTCTTGCTTTGGGAAAGACAACAAAGCAGGTGGGCCCATGCATTAGAAATTAAAAGAGCAATATTCAAATTTTGTAAGTAGGGCGACATTCCACATGCTATAAATTTTATATTATTCATGACGTGCTACAAACAATGTTTTAAGACCCGAACCAATCCGGACGATCGAATTGGTCGAACCGTTACCTGCTGAAAAAAACGGGCTGGTTCAACCAATTAACCCAGATTAGCAGTTGGCCCGCCTAGAACCGAACGGTTTTTAAAGACCCGGAAAAAACCTGGAACCCGGAGCAGATTTTACGGGTCAATAGCGGGTCGCAAAAAAAAGATAAAATTGGTATTTTAAAAATGAAAAACCCTTCTCCTCACTCTGTCTAGCAGACCAACACTTATAAGGACCCATTCTTCTTCTTTTCAGTCTCACTTCTCTCTGTCTCGCACGATACACACACTCATTCTCGCCACCTTCTCAAATCTCAGCCATCTGGGCTTTATTCTATTTGTCATCTCCCTCAAGCCACTCAGCCATCTGGGCCCTGTCTTCACCGTTCAACCATCTTGGACTCGCCTTCTCAACTATTTGGGTTCTATGTTCATCCTTCGTTGTCTTCACCATTCAGCTTTAGCCATCTCAAACTTCATATGCTTCTTTATTCTTCATCTTCACTTCACTTTCTTCATTTTGGTTTGTGACTTCGTGTTCTTGATTAACTCTAGTATAGGCATCCAGTTGTTGAAGACAGTCAGATGGCGTCGAGCTCGAACCCTTTCTTGATTCTTCATCTTCTTCATCGATTGTTCTCTCTCTCTCTCTCTCTCTCTCTCTCTTAGTCCCGGTGAGATTTTCTTTCTCCCTCATTTATATCTCTACCCAATTTAATGTAATCTCCATGGTTCTAAATGGAGTAAAATGAATGCTAATGGATGAGCTTGCTTTTTATTATCTGAGCTGTTTATTGCAAAATGAAGGATTGCTGAATGGATGAAGATAAATCTATTTTTTATTGTCCAAGAGTTGTTTATTGCAAATAGAAGTTTTATTTTTTTTCAAGTGATTATGCCTAAATCCTGATGCATTTAAGAATCTAGTGTTGTATTTTTGTTAGCTTGTTTTATATATATATATATATATATATAATTTTTTATTTAATTATTTGGTCACCGGTCTGACCGGTTGAACCATAAGACCCGTGACTCATTGATATTTCCGATTCACTATCCGATCCGGGTTTTAAAACATTGGCTACAAAGTTTGTCACAAAAAAAAAAAAGTTAATAGTTAACTAATACACTAGTTAATAAGAAAATGAGACACCCCAATCTTGCTAAGCAATGTTCCAATAACTAGGGTTAAAATACTGACTAAAAAATATACTAATATTTATTACCTCATCATGTTTGAAATATAATTTATTTATAATAGAAGAATGACTGCGTGCAAAATCGATATTAAAAAAAATAACATGTGGAGGATATTATCAAAAGTTTTTTTTTTTTTTTGGGTCAAAAGGATATTAAGTATCAGGAAGGATGCCTAATGCCTATCAAGTAGAACTGTGAATTGTTTTTATTATTAATTAGTAATTAATTAATTAATAATTAATACATGGATGGTTTGTTAATTTATAATATTGATGAAAATGAATAGTCAACAGTGAAGAAATGGATAATTATTTTCTGCTATGACGGTGGTGGAAGGATTACAAATTTAAAAGACAAAAAACAAAAAGGTTTATGGATTAGGTAGTTGAAGATTATGCTCTTTGAGTGATTATTAATTCCGTAGGGTAAGCGGACAACATGCGAAAGTGTGGCAACGTGCTGCCACGCCCTAAATATATGGGAACTTAATTATTATTCCTGATAATATGGTTGGTGAAGCACTTAAATATACATAAGGGGTAATTAGTTGATGGCCTAATAGTTAAATGAATTTATATTATGTTTGAATGCATATGAATTTAAATTTAAATTTAAACTAAAACCAAATTCTTTATCTGAGCACTTAAAAATTTATAGCTTTGGATTTACCTATATATGCATGAATTTAAAATACAATGATTTCAAGTTTAAATAAAAAAAAAAATTGATAAAGGTCGGTAGACAAAGCCCCCTATATAGTACCCCAACTAACCATATACGGCCAATCCTTTGTCTAAGACACTAAGAAGTGCAGCTGAAGGTTAAGAGATTGCATAAATCCTAGGTGTTGCAGCGAGCCTAAACTTGGCAAGAAGATATGCAGTCATATTACACTCAAGACATGCACGTTGAAGCTGGATATCTCAATTCCGCTACAAGAGATTATTTTGGATTTCTAAAATCAAATCCTGATCAAAATGTTCTTGGTTCAGTGTCGCCAATAAGGTTTCCAAACCCTCCAAAGAGTCCATTTCCAGAACAACATGTCTCGAGCTTGCATCCCACGCCATTTTCAAACCGAGGAGCAATGCCCAAAGTTTGGTTGAAAAGCTATCAGTGCAGTCCAATCTGCAGGTGAATCCCTATAAGAAATCTGCCTTGAGAATCCCATAGCAAACCACCATATACAGCAACATTGCCAACAATTGAGAAGGCGCCATCAACATTAAGCTTCATCCATCCACCATCCAAGGGAACCCACTTGTCCGAGCACTACCTTACAGTAATAGTGTTAACTATAGTCAGCCCAAGTTTCCAGTGAGCTTCACAAGAGGTCTCAACTATAGCCCTCACACGCAACAAAACTTCCTCGAGTCTAGTAGATTTTCATTCAAACCAAAACACATTTCCCTGTTGCCATAACCCCCAGCAAATTACTATAAACAGAGCCCCCCAGTTCTTCCCCACAAAGAGCGCATTTTTGGACAGGTTTAATGAAATCCACTCCTTTAAAGCAGGTCTTTCAAACCGTGCTGACGAGGGGAGTAAGCTCTGCCAGATTGCTTTTGTCTGCATACAGCCATGTAATAAGTGAATCCCATCTTTGTAAGCATCGTTACATAAAGGACTCATGTCCTCCAAGCTCAAACCACCTCGTTTCCATTTAGAGATACTAAGAAGTCCATTTCAATAGCATACCAGAGGAATGATCAACATCTTTGAGGAGCTTTAATTTTGCTAATTTTATCCTAGCAAGAGCCAGAATGAGACTCAATTGTTGAAAGCAAGCTATAAGCCGATTTGACCGAAAATAAATTGTACTTTTTACCACACCATCTAATATCAACCTTGTTATTAAAAAGCCCAAATCCATACTATAACATCCTCAATTACAAACTTTGAATTTTTAATGTTCTAAAAGGGATAAATTGATAAAATTGAATGATTAATGAATTCATAATGTTTTTGGACCACTAATAAAGTTATTGAATCATTGAGCAGTCTTAGAAGAGGATTTTGGAGTTTGTGCAAAACAAGCATTAAGTGAGGCTCAAAATTCAGTTTGAGCTCATTGTGCTATCCACCGTAGCGGACGCACCATGCACCATGATGAATGTGCAAAAATCTACATAAATCAATTATGTACACAAATCAAAACAAGAGGAGAAAGAGGAACACGTGAAGGATAACGGAGGTAGAGCTTGAAGATGCTAGGGCTTCACTTTTAGAGTTTTTTGTAAGCATTTTAAGCTACCTCTTAGCTACTCTCCTCCTTCCCTGAATGAAATTTCTATTAGTTTAGGAAGTATTGGGTGTTATTTTTGTCTCTCGTTGGGTTTTGATCGAACACATTGGATTAGTTAAACCTTGGGAAGTTAAATCAAGCTTTTAAACTTAGATTTATGGATCTTATAGTGATTTGGGATTTTTTATCAAGTTTAGATGAACCCTAGGTGAATTTGGAAGATTAGGAGTAATATGGGTGAAGAATTGATATAATTTAACTATTTGGGTGTTAAATAGAATTATTGGAGTGGGTTGGAAGTGTTAATTTTGGTAAAGAGGAAATTTGGGTATAGTAGCTATCCAAAATTAGGCTAAAAG